CACACACACACACACACACACACACACACGAAAAAAAAAAAAAAAAAGGGTTATAACTTATAACTTATCAGTGATGAGTGGTCATGGGGGGACGTGGTTGCTGTCAAATGTGTGGACATCACTTTCTGTGAATCCTTCCTGAGGTGAGCAATCCATGCTGACAATGGACAATGGACAATGGGCTCCCGTGGGTGGTAACGCGGGAGAGCTCTGATGTCGATATTTTCAGTGGCTCACCAGCCAAGGATCCCACTGATGTCGAAATTTTCAGGGGCTCACCCGCCAACGATCCCAGCTTACGTACATGCCCCCTTAATAAGAGGGGCAATCAATGCGGACAATGGGCTCCCGCGTTACCACCCACGGGTAACGTGTTTTTTTTTTTTTTTTTTTTGGTTTGTTTGTTCCCTGGGCCCCCCCCTCCCCCCCCTTAATAACGCATGTACCCTCTAAAAATGCACTAGGGGGTTAAACAAGGCCTGAGGGGCGTTGTGGTAACGAGTTTTGATGTCATTTTTCATGGTAACTTCAGTGGAAGCCATGATGGGCTCGCTCGCCCAGGGCCCAGATTTCCCAGACTCAAAAGGACATGAAAAGAAATAACTGAAAACTTGGGGTTAAATTTGCCTGCAATGGTGCTTCGGGACATCCGTTAAAATTGGAACGATACAGAGAAGATTAGCATGGCCCCTATGCAAGAATGACATGCATAAATCGAGAAATGGTCCCCAAAAAACAAAACAAAAAAGAAGAAAGAAAAAGGCCTACAACGGCCAGACAGCCTAGGTAGTGTAAGGACGCCCGCCAATGACCCCAGTGTACGTAATGCGTTATTAAGGGGGGGGGGGGGAAACAACAAACAAACAAAAAAAAAAACAGTTCAAGAAGCGGAATATACATGATCCTCCTCCTCCTCCTCCTTCTGGTCACTGTCATTCTTATTCTCGTTCTCATCATCATTATCATTATCATTATCATCATCTGTGCTATGACTATCATCACAAGCAACAGCACCATCCTCCTCCTCCTCCTCATGACTCTCATTGGTGCCACCATCATGAAGATGGCCATCAGTCAATCATCATCATCATCACTCTCATTGGCGCCATCATACAGTTTGTTGTCGTTGTCAGACCATCTTCATTGCCATGTGTTGTCATCATCATCATCATCATCATCATCAATCAATCATCACTAACACCAATCAATCAATCAATCAATCAATCAATCAATGATGATGATGATGATGATGATGATGGAGTTGGTACTCACTCCCCACTTGTAGGTAAGGAACTGTTTTCGGATCTCCACTGCCATGCTCTGTTTATCGAATAGCTGCTCCTGGACTTCCCGAATCTGTTTCTGGTAAGCCCTTTTCGTGAACTCCAGCTCTTCCTTCTCCATCACCCATTGATTCAAGCTCTGCATGGGAAAAAAAGCAAAGGCCAGGCCAGGAGCAAGGGATGTTATTGTTAGGGGGTAACAAGGGGGTGTTCTGAGGAGCTAAGGGGCTTGGATGGGTAGCCGGGCGGGGGGGTGAGGGAAGGGGGAGGGGCTTGGATGTTAAGCTTTAACCTTTAGGCCATTTCTTGGCTGAGTCACTCCTCTAAAACACGCTGCAATACTTTTGCCTTCTGAGTTCTCTCTGCTGCATCTCGCACAATGCACGTGGACAGTTACACATCACATGCCTCCTGACTGACATACCGTCCAGTCTTTTTTTTTTTCCTGACAGATGCATGGAAGCAAAAGAAAAAGGCACTTCTTTTTTTTTGGGAGGGGGGGAAAGAGAAAGGATTCCACTTATAAAACAGTTACACTGAGGTGGCCAAGCTGCCTACAGCTCAGTCGGTTGAGCACGTAAGTGGCACTCCGGAGGTCGTGGGTTCAATTCCCCACTGGCACGGCATCCATTCGACTCCCCAGGACACCCCCCCTGTGTGGCATACTTCGGGTTCACCGACTGAGACAGTCGGCTTGTCCCTCCTGACTGTTTGTGGAAGGGTCACTACCTCTCACTTTCCAGCCCGCACCAGGTGTTAGCAGCTTGGGTGCTGCTCCCTGCACGGAGCAGTGTTAAGTAGGCCTAGACCCATAACCGTAGGATAGCTTAGGTCTGGTTAAAGTTTAACAAAAAAACACTCACACAGACCCTGGGAATCCTCACAAACAACCCAGAGTTAAGTTCAGTTAACAGACACTTCTTCAGTTAACAGACACTGGCCTAGACCCAGGGACCATTACCCAGCTTCATTTAAACCCGGCGACCATGGTCCCTGGGTAATGGTCCCACTGTCTGTACAATGCAGTGGTTGTTTCAACTTGTTTGTGAGGATTCTAGCAGACTGAAGCTTGAACTGGTACTAAGTTACTAACCAGAGTTAACAGACACCAGCGGTTCTCTTACCACCACCCTTAAGTTACTAACCAGAGTTACTAACCGGAGTTACTAACCAGAGTTNGTTACTAACCAGAGTTACTAACCAGAGTTACTAACCAGAGTTACTAACCAGAGTTAACAGACACCAGCGGTTCTCTTACCACCACCCTTAAGTTATTAACCAGAGTTACTAACCAGAGTTAACAGACACCAGCGGTTCTCTTACCACCACCCTTAAGTTACTAACCAGAGTTAACAGACACCAGCTGTTCTCTAAACCAACTTGTTTATAACCAATCTAAGGGAAGTCTCCCCAGTAATAGATCGAGCAGCCCACCCGGCAAGGCCTCAATCCCGGCGGTTCTCTTACCAGCACCAGGGAGGAGGTCCCACTAGCAAAAAGGATAGGATCGAGCTCCTGAATCTGGATGTGGTTTAAGCAGAGATGCAGAAAAGCAGTTCAATCTCGAATTTTCCTGCACATCTCCATAAACTAGTCCAGATTCAGGCATTCGATCCGATCCTCTTTGCTAGTGGGACCATGCCCCAGGATAGTGAACTTGCGAAAGGGGTTTTTTGAATTGCTTAGTAATATTATAAAAAATAATGATAGTATTACACAATCTAATTAATAAGTAGAAATTTAACAGTAAATAGTATGACACTAGGGTATGGGAAGGTGGCCCGATTTGCAGTTGCTTACCCCATTAACAAAAAAAAAAAAAAAAAAAAAAAAAAAAAAAAAAAAAAAAAAGCTTACTGCATTATAGCGCTGCTCCTGACCGTCCAAAATCTGGCCATGCTCTCTCATCTCTGGTGCTTTGCGGACCGTCAAAACTTTTCTCTGAAGAGAAACGCTCAGCAGAACAAGTTTATCCTTCTCTCGAAGGGCATCCTGTCAATTTTCCAGCCAGGCAAAAAAAAAAGAAAACCTCAGATGGCATTTCAGGAAAAAAAAAAGAAAAAGAAAAAGGAAAAGAAAGAAGGAAAGGGTTGTTGTCAAGTTGTTGATACAATAATGAAATGCTGCATTCCGTTAAAAGAAAAAGATAAAAAAAAGGGGCAAGTTTCAAAAATAGTGCGTCGCAGTAGTTTCACAGCAAAATATATTGGCGGGGCCAAAGTTTCGTTGCAAAAATATATCTTTCGTTGCAGCTTTAGAGGTCCCCGTAGTTTCACAGCAAAAATATTTGCAGACAGGGTCCCACTTTCCTTGCCAAAATCGATCTTTTGGACCCGTACAACATTTCTGCTGCAAAACTTCGAAAACACGCTATTTCTGCAATTCCCCCCCCCCCAAAAAAAAAAAAAAAAGAAAGGGTTGTTGGCAACCTGCAGTTCTCTGCGAGATTGGCTAGCACTCCACGGTCAGCGGAGGGGAAGGAGCCTAAAATCGATGGACTCGAAACAGCACATCGCATACTGGAGCAGTACGAACCCGTCAGCGCTCGGTTGGGTGGGAGTACGTGGGACCAACTCATAGTTTTCTAGAATTGTACCCATGGTTATTTTGACAAAGAATGTGGAGATGAAAGAGCACCGTCGATGGCACATTCAAGCATCTGATCCACACACACACACAAAAAAAAGCTGTAGTATCATGTATTCCTTCATTGCCGCCAGCTTGGCGCCACACCTGGTACGATGCGGGGCCTGTCTCTTATACACATCTAGATGTGTATAAGAGACAGACTCATAGTTTTCTAGAATTGTACCCATGGTTATTTTGACAAAGAATGTGGAGATGAAAGAGCACCGTCGATGGCACATTCAAGCATCTGATCCACACACACACACAAAAAAAAGCTGTAGTATCATGTATTCCTTCATTGCCGCCAGCTTGGCGCCACACCTGGTACGATGCGGGGCCAAGTTCCCAGATCTGTCTACCAGTGCAGCGGGCCTCTATCTGCCCTGGCCTACAGCCAGGGCCTATTCTGCTATTTGCCAGTTCGGCCTGTGGGACCAGGCCGTGGCCTGACCCCATAGGCCGTGCACTGTTTCAGTCCAGTCCAGTCCTGCCCGGTACCAACAGGTACCACTGTCGGTACCAGTCCAGTCCAGTCCAGTTCAGTCCAGTCAGTCCGCTAGGGGTATACCCCAGCTGCAGTCTGTATGTCGTCATTCTTCACTTTTGCACATCTTGGAGTACGTGCGTGTTGAGTCTGCGTCGGAGCTGCGCTGTCCCTTCCAGCTCCATCTCTACCTCCTCCTTCGTCAACCCTTCTTCTCCACCCTGACGGACCGCCATCCCGGCCGGCGGGTCTGGCACACTGTTATCAGAGCAGGAACGGTCCCCGCTCCAACCCGCCCACCCTCCCGTAACAGGGAGAAATCGGTGTAATCCTGACAGCCGGATTTTCAGGGTTCTGCAAAACGGCGAAAAACGGGAGCGTGCAGAGGCTGACACGTGGCAAAAAAAGGAGCTGCTGTCACGATGCGGCGCTTAAGGCCAAGGCCGCCGCACGCGCACGCACGCGCCATGCACCCATGCTGCCCGCTGACCCGCCCCGCTCCCGGATTATATTATTCCGGGTTCGGGATGTTGCAGCTGCCAGGGTTTGAACCTGGGCAGCTGCTGCTCATGCGTGTGCGTGGCCAGTGCCTTAACACACTGGCCAAAGCCACAATATGAGCTGATACTGTGGCTTGCTGCTATTGAAGAAGTGTCACAACAGCTATTTAACCCCCCCCGTGGCTGTGTGCTGCCTCTCTGCAGTGCCACGTGGCAGCTTGCTGTGGATCTTGAAGACCCCCCTGGCTGGGGGGCTGCACTACAGTGCCATCTGGGTGGCTGATCAAGATCTCAGGCCACTGCAGAAATTTTTCTTTTTGCAGTGGCATCGGGCCAGCAGCATCTTGAAGGCCAAGATCGTGTGGATCTTGGTAGTGCTCTGCTCTTGGCCACCCAAGAGTTCGGTATAACCATCCTACGCACTAACCTGGTCTCCCCCAACCGCTTTTCTCTCCCCCCCCCTATCATCTAATCATCTTTTCTAACCCTACCACTACTTTCTCCTCCTCCCTCCCTCTTCACTCGTCTTCCCCAACCTTTTTCTCTCCTCTCCTCCCCACTCACCATCTTCTACTAATCTCATCTACTCCTCTCCACCTTTTCTGTATCCTTCTCTCCCATTCTACCACCCTCCTCTCCTTCTTCCCCCCCCTAACGACAACCCCATCATTTCCCCCATCTCCCCCTTCACTCTTTTTCTCTTTCTCACCTATTTCTCTCTTTTCTTTTTACTTTTTCATCCCCCCTCCCCCCCAACTTCGAAAAATTTCTGTTTTTCTTCTTTTTATCTTTSTTTTTTATTTATATTTCCTCCTTTTCCCAAAAATTTGAATTATCTTATTCCCCACCTTCTTTTCTCATTTTCTGATTTATTTCATTTTACTTTTTTTTATTTATTATGAAAATTCAAATTTATTTGCGGAACCCTCAAAATCTGATTAGGAGTTAGTCATTCTTCCTTTCGGCACACATTTTGACCACGTGGGGTAACGAAGTGCTGCTGAAATTTTCTGTTTTTTTTCTTTTATTTCACTTAGTCTTTTTCAGCACATTTTGACACCTTTGGGGGTAGCGAAGTGCTGGCATTTTTTTTTAATTTTACTTAGTCTTTCTTCTTGACGGCACACTTCGACCCCATGGGGGTAACGAAATGCTGCCAAAATTTTTCAAAAAAAACAACACTTAGTTTCTCTTCACCCCCTTATTTATTTATTTATTTATTTATTTATTTTTTTGACAATTATCATTTGCGGCATTTAAAACTTAGTGTGCTTCTCTTAGTCTCTCCTTCCTTTTTACACCTTTGTGACCCCGTTGGGGTAGGAAAATGCTGCCAAAAATTCTAAAAAAATAAGTATTATTTCTCCTCTCACCTTTTGCTTATTTCTTTCTCTCTTTATTTTTATTATTTATTTACTTTTATTTTTATCTCAAAATTTTACTGTTTATTTTATTTTCTCTCCCCCTCCCCTCCATGGTTATTATTTTCTTTTCTTCATTAGGTCACCGTTACCCTCCCCTAACCACCTAAACCCGGTTAGGGTTTTCTTAGGGTTTTTCTAGGGTTTAGGGTTCTCCTAACCCCCCTACTCCCTCGCCTCCTCCCTTCGGGCACCCTGAACCCAAACGACTCCTCTCCCCTTGACCGGATTTGTGCCATCATCTCATGCGCGACCCGCTGGTCACGGGGCGAGCCGACCCACGATTACCCACTCCGCTCTCGCGGTCCCCTCCCTCTCACCGGTGGTCCCCTGTCCTCATACCACAATCCATCTCTCCCCCCACCTCCCACAATGTCTACCTCTCTTTCTTTACCGCCCACGGACAGGGCTACAGCTGAGGAGGTAATTGCAGCATCATCCACCTCTCAGGCGTCCACCCACCCGACGGTCCAGGGCCAGCCCTCTGTGGACCCCACGGACCTTCGCGTTGTTCTTGCGACTCTCCTTGCACCTCTGCAAGCGCGACTCGATGCGCTTGCACCCCTGGAGAGGCAAGTAATTGCGCTTGCCCTTGAAGTTCACCGCCTCAAGGGTTCTCCTCATCGCTCTCCCCACCGCTCTCAGACCCCAAGTCCGGATCTCCACGACTCCGGGAACGGAGACGTGGTGGTTCGTCCTCCTTTGCGGGCCAGGCCCAACACTCCCCCTCCGCAGTGGTGAGTGCTGCTGCCGCTCAGACGATACCGTCTGTTGCGGCACAGCCATTGGCCTTCGCCGCTCCTGCCGCCCCTACCGCTTCGGCCACTGCCGCATGTGCTGTCGCCCAGATACCGGTATCTGGCTAGGCAGTTTCATCTACCCACCCCGGTGTTGCTTCCCGGCTTCATGCACCGGTCGCGACAGTACGGCCCGGAGTTCTCCCTCCTCCCGCTAGGGTACTCTCTCCGCCTCCTCCACCTCCGACCCCACACACCCAGCGAGTGGCCACCCTACAGGCCACCGTGGTGCAACTCCAAGCGGAGATTCTCTCCCTGAGATAGCCTCACCCTTCACAGGCTACTCACCCTTCTTCTTCCTATACCGCCCCGCCCACCTCTGCCTTGCCGACTCGTTTCCTCGACCGGCTCCCCCCCCTCTACCCTACTATTGTTATTCTGTCACAGTCGGTTGCGGCTGTTGCCTCCACACTTGCTGGACCTTCCACCAGCAGCCTCGACTCTCAGCCTGCTACCACTTCCACGACAGCACCGGCCTCGACATTTGCCGCCGCAGTGCAGGCCCCTCGACCTCCCTCCCCTCGCCGTCAACACAGCGGTCCCACCCTTGTGCGTCTTTCGGACATACCCGACTACGATGGTACAATGCGTGTGTCGCACTGGTTGCAGGCTGCCACACGCGCACTGACGCTGACTTACACTAGCCCGGCGTTGTGGTGCTCCGCGCTCACAACTAAATTGCGAGGCAGCGCGTTCTCCGCATGGGAGAACTATTATTCCCATTGTACTCACGCAGGTGAGGCTCCTACTCTCGCGGATTTCACCTCGTTCCTCCATGACTGCTATGACACTCTCCACGATGCGACAGACTCCTTAGATCGGGTCACCCAGACGTAGTGGCACGGGTCCTCCGCACCAGCCCATCTTGAGCGTCACATTAGAGTGTTTCCGGACGCCCGCCTCATTTGCGATGAGGCACTCCTACCTGAAGTCCTTTTGACCAACAGGTTCGTAGTCAGTCTTCCGACTGACTACCGCATCGAGCTCTGGCGATGGAGCTTCGCCTCCTCCGAGCAGGCCTACGAGGCTGCTCGACAGTACCAGAAGATGCGGAGTCGCTTCTCCGACGCCCCATCTTCTTCGCCATCCACCGCCTCCGCCACCCAGTCACGCGGCACCACGCGCGGTCGATCCTCCT